TGTGGTCAATTGTTAAATCACCCATTGTATTTAGAATAATGAGCTTCACTTTCTGTTTTGTTTGTTTACGACAGACGATTCTTTGATTTATTCACAGACCAGTGTCAATAACTGCAACGAGAATTTAAGCGAAACCGTCTTTCGCGGGCAGCCATTGTTTAAAATGATACCGCTGCAATGAGAGAATTCTTGTACTGACAATATAACTGAGATGATGTTTATTGTTGACTAAACGTGTATCAAAATTATAACACCTAGGCACAAAATGCAAATGTGCCAAAAAATAGCAGCAAGATCTAAGCGCAAATTGTTTTGTTTTTTGTTTTGAGTGTGTCGCGTAAATGAACGTAGCTGTCTTTTATGGTAATTAACGCGCGGGTCATGGATCATTTGTTGAGTTCCAATACGCTGCAGTGCAAAGAGTTCAAACGGACATTTAAATGAGACGCCCTACGGTTTGAACCGTTTGGCTGAAAATAGCAACAGAATTAGGCCTCTATTCCAAGTTCCAGCATTTAAGTACGCCTGGAGGAGCTTATAGTTTCAGAATGAACAAATGGTTTTGAGTAAAGAGATAGGAGTACCATACTGTGCGTGCAAAAATTCAGGACACGAGGAAAAAGTTGCGGTTGATTTATCAGCTGGTAGGTCCATGAACGTTAACTAAGTAATTCGAATGGATGAAAAGAAGCATTTGAATACAGAGAAACTTATTTCGCCCCAAAGCGACGACGACGAAGATGAGAACAATTCTCGTGGTTGTGCAAGTTCGTATTTGGTTGAGGAGCGAGAGAACGGCAAAAAGACATTACCGCATAAATTTCGTCAGCGCTGGACCAAAGCGGCTTCATTGCTCGCTTTGGTTTCATTCATTGCAGCCGTTGGTTTCAGCTTAGCGTCATTTATAACTTCGCAGGCAACTGAAAGTTCAGCTGTGTTCGCGGCAGGTTTCGACGCTTTCTTTGCTGCTATCAATGTAGTTGCCGTATGTTGGAGGTTTAGAGACGAATTGAATGGAGAAATTGGCCCGATGCGTGAGAAGAAAGCTACTTCGGTCATAGCCATAACATTTATTTGCGGTGGCATTGCGACAATCGTAATTGCATTATACCACCTCGAAATCAAGGACCACCCTGAGAAGACAGGAGAAATGATGATCGTGCTGGGCGTTGGTTTCGTAATATATACCATTCTGGCCTTTCTCCAGTGCTATGTTGCAAAAATGTTGCAGAGTTCCTCCATGAAGGCTTTATCAGTTGACTCGGCGCTAGCGGCGGCTATGTCTATCGGACTTCTTGGCTCGGCTGGTATTTACTCCGAAGTCAACAAACTTTGGTATCTGGACCATGCCGTGGCTACAGTATTAGGCGCTGTTTCGTTAATATACGGCATTGCATTAGGAATAGAAATAATACAGTTCAAAATAAAGGAAAAAATCATATCATCGTTTCAGAAAGAATTTAAGAAAGATGAAAACTAGAAAAAATGACAGAACTCCTGATATATATTATTTTTTCATTGGAATACGCAACTGATTTAAAAATTCCAACAAATTTCAACAGTGCCACAGTTTTCGAAAACTTGTATTTTTCACTATCTGGGAATAGCACCAGTTTCTTGTATCATAATTAACTGCACGTTCAATTCCGATCACTGCGTTTGCTGTTGATGTCATGATATTTAACGCCTATATCGCTATTGGATCAGTTGCATTTTTGTATGATGTTTGTAAATGATATTCAACACCGGAGCCATCTTTTAAGGGCTTTGTGCACTTTATGATGTTGGCCAAAGAGACTGGAATTATTTTGTCAAGAAAGGCAGCAAAGAAAATATGTAAATTCACGGTCAGTAAACTTTGTAATGAATTGGCCTAGTTTCTCAGAAGCACATGTAGGTCTTTCTGTTAAAACTTACTCTTGTGGTGTGGAATAAAATGCAAGAAAAGAAATTTTGTTCCCATACACTCTTTTTTTGTATATGAATATATTTTATAAGAATATCGGGGCTGCAATTTGTGAAATTTTAAGAATATTTAAGAATAAGCACGAGGCTGAGATTTTGAAAAGGAAATAATTTTGTACACTTTAAAGAAAATATCAAATTTGGAAAACAAAGACTAAATATACAAAAGGTGATAGAAAATTACAATACTAGAATAACATAGCTAAGTACTAACAATATGTGAAAAAGATTAATTACATAATAGCTGAGGGAAACGGTACACACTGCGATAAATAATACTGGACTTACATTCTGTACATTCTTGAGCTGTTTACTGAGCGAGGGTCGCTTCCATTCTATGTGAGGGGTTTCTTTGATTTTGACTGAGTTGCCAATTTGTGGGAGGCGGATCCAGAGTGGAAAAAGAAGCTTCCAAACATAAATTCTTACATGAATTAGAAACCTTTATTAAGGATGAGAGAATTAAGGTCGGAATACAGTGGTTTCACCGACAGTGTTTTGAAAATTTATGAATACAATACAATTATATGTTTTTAAAATAAACCGCATAGAATTCTTCCCTCCTCTAAACGGCAAAACTAGCAAAAACCAACATAAAGAGCACTAGCCGTCTTTTCTATGTTAATAACATTTCTGCAAGACTCAATATGTGCATCATTTCAGGCTTTAACGCCTGCGGGCTGGCTCCAAAATTACATTAATTTAAAACACCATCCAGACACCAAATACTCGAAAACAGAAATGTCGTGCGCTATAATCTAAGAAAATTCAGCCCCGGCTGGAAATCAATATTCTTATATATATATAAAAAAAAGAGTGTTGCAAGAGAAATACAAAGAAATTAAAGTCATTGGCATTTGAAAAGACGTCCACTTCATTGAGCCTTAATTGTAAGCTAGTTCCAGTACATTACCGAGAATACGAATATGGTTTATTACCGTGTGCAAAGTGTGTCATTTCTCCCACTGAAACACTTTACATTTCGAACGGGGGCAGGGAGGGGTTTATATAACCTAAAGGTACAGTTGACGTTAAGCGAGAATGACGGGGAACAAGTGAACATTTCGACGGCCCGTTATCAAATTGCGACGACCTTTGGCAAAGGAATGTTCCGCTTCAAAAGAAGAAATGGGAAATTTGTGTTAAGGTCGACAGTTAAGCCTTTATTTTATTACATTTAATGAAAGTCTAAATCCTCGTCCACATTACGCCGGAGAATTAATATTCGGACAACGGCGTTTTCAGTCTCATAACGCATCAAATGTTTTTTGTCCACACTACACTGGAGAAATTTGAAAACACACTAATCACCGGCGACAGAATAACTTGCGTACACAGACGTATTTCCGGCTGTCGCTTGTCTCCGCCGAAAATAACACGTTATTTTCGGCGGAGACAAGCATCAACCGGAAATACGCCTGCGTTCGTAGGCTAGCGGCAGGGTTAGGGTTAATCACATGATTAGCAAGACGTCATCCTTTTCGAAAAGCTCCGTTTTCTAAGAATAAACGTTTTCAGTCCACACTAAAACGCAAAGCCGGCGTTTTCAAATTTCTCTGGCCTGGAGAACGTTTTCGAAAAGCTCGGTTTTCGAGACGGATTAGTGTGGTTGGTAGGCCTAACCGTRGAAATAAAGCTGCGTTTTCAAATTTCTCCCGTGTAGTGTGCTAGGGGCCTAAGACCGAGAGTACGAAATCAACATAGGAGTTAATTTACTCAGGCAAGGGTGCGCACGCGYTGTTTGTTTATCAGGATTGCGCGTTAAGACCGGCGTATTTATTTTTTTGAGCAAGTAACATTTGATCAGRCGTTYTTCTTTTCGAAMGCATGATCGCATGGTCAAATACGTTACACGCATAGGGCTTACATAACGGCTGGTAATGATCGTTACCCCGATTGCAACTACCGGTTTCTATGTGTTGGCTACGATTGTTATAGTCGCTACGATTGTTTAGATAGAACTTCCACATCCACATTATGGGGGTCTTGCAAAGGGAGGCATACTCCCATCACTGCAAGACATTAAATAAAAAAAAAAATAAAAAGCAGGGTGGGGGTGGGGGTAAAAAACCTTAAAAATATATGATAAAATATGTACATAATTTAAAAACTTAAGTCTATTTCGCGAGCGTTTTCTCAATGCTCGCATAGTCCGCTGCAGAGTGGCTTCCATATGACCGCAACGATAGCTAACCTTTTTTAGCAGCGATCGTATTGATCATACCCAAGTTGTCACATGAAAGCCCGCTGAGAGGTACGCATTTCATTGGGTAATGCCTGGTTGTTATGACAACCGTGTCAACTTGCTTTTTCTCAGAGGGGCCAAACCCTGCAGCGACTTGCGTGCAAAACACGTGATCGTGAATCCTGAACTGGGGATCTGCGTAGTTTATTCGGGGTATAAAGGTCAGTTTTCACCGGCGCACAAGCATAAGCATAAACAATCACGGTTGGGTGCTCCTAAGTAGCGCTTTTCGTTCACAAATTTTCCTAACAAAAGGTACGCAGCTAGACGATAAGATGACCATTTCCATCGATCTGAATATTAAAACCGATCAAGCATTGCTTGTCACGCAAAAAGAGAAATGAACAGTGTTTAAATTAGGTACCGTTACGGGATCTGACAATGTTCATCCAACAGAATTTTGGATCAAGATTTATTTAAAGGAGCTCAATCACGGTATTTTGAGTTATTTTTGCCACATACAAAATTACCTTTAAATGGTAGGAAACCTGAAAATAACAGTTTAATAAGATAGAAAAAAACCAAAGAGATAATGATAAACCATAAAGGAACAAGGATGGCTAAGGATGGAGAAGATTAACACGGATTACGACGACGAATTTGAAAAATTGAGGCGAAAATTTTCGATGTGCGCAAACCGTGACTGAGTTCTTTTAACATTGTCGACAGAAACCGGGGCGCTATCTACTGAGAGCTTTTTGGTGAGTTTTAATTACTGCGGATTGTCTTACCTGAAATGTGTGATTTATATTAATTGTGTGTACTTAAATGTTATTAAACCCTTCTCATTATCAATACTTTTTGAGTGCAATATCTTCTAACCGGTTTGCCCACAGTCTTATTTCTAACAAAATGCATGGCTATATAGAGAGCCGGCGAGTGGCAGATACCACACCTAAAATCCTGGTTGAATACAAACATAATTTTATCACTACAATATCGATGTGCTTTTTTGATCCGTATTTGAACAATGCAATAACATTAGCAACACGATAAACAATTTCTATGATAATCGCCACGATTTGCAAGTCTCCCAGTTTCTCATCAGGAAAGTTTCGAAAGCTTCCTACAGAACGCTATCTCCACCACCAGATGAATTCCATATAAGAGAGAAACAAAACCAATAAAAATTGCCACGGAATGGTCTAAAAACCAAACGCTTGTTCCAACTTGCCTGTAAACGAAGGTCGAAATCAATACCCCCACAGACAATGCTGCGGCCAGCCACGAATCTATAGCCGACGCTTTTAGTGAAGAACTGTCCAGTTTTTTGGAGATGCAGTCTTGTGCGAGAGCAAGAAAAAAGTAACATACGAAACTCGCAGCAAGAATTATGATAAGTTGGTCAGGTTTTTCTGGATGGTCCTGTGCCATCAAGCGAAGGATCGCAATCGCAATGGTCGCGCTTCCACTTATGGTGAAAGTCACCGCGATTCCTAACGTGGCGATTTTCTCGCGTTTTGGTGCAATCTCGCCGTTGGATACATCCCTGAATCTCCAGGCTACAGCTAACGAGTTGAAAGCCCCCAGTATCCCGTCCAGTGCGCTGGCAAAAATCGACGAACTTTCTGTGCTTTTTGAAGCGAAAAATGACACGGAACTGAATGCTAGAGTGACCACCAACGAAGCGAGGGACACCATGAAGGCGGCGCGACTCCACTTCTCACGGAACTTCTGAGGCAAAAATGTATTACTCGGCGTTTTCGTCTCTTCTAAGTATGAAACGCAGTGTTTGTCTTTAAGTGGCTGTTTGTCATCTTCTTCTTCATCTGTGAATGCTTCCATTGTCAAGCTTCTTTGGGAAGATGGAGAACTGTTGCTGCTTTCCATTCTCGATTGATGGTACAGAGAGTTTTGCAATGATTTTCAAATGCGTAGAATCTGTTCTTATTTATCAATGTTGGGCATCATTTTCTGAGCCGAAGCGGGTACTTCAAAAGTGATTAAGGAAAGCCCAGAAGACAGACTGAATTAACAATTCCCGCTTTTTGGCTGAATACTACGAATGAATTCTGAACTGATTCAGTGCCTGAAGTCCATTTTACCAATCACTGAGTGAAGGAAACTGGCTTTGGAGTGGTACTCTTGTTCAGCCAGAATGAAATACATTTGAGTAGATCCGACAGGCTGCCGCTTCTGAAGGGAATTTAACTGGATTTAAAATGTTTACTTTCCCCCAAGATAGTTCTAAAAGTGTAAACTTTTCATCAAAAGCAAACATCTAATGTGCATATCAAAAGAAATTTGACGTCGTTGCCATCGCGCTTTTAATACTGCTCGAGAAAAATGTTGACTCAAAGCGCTTTGTAAAGCAAATTTATTCAATACCGCGCGCTATTTAACACAGATGAAGGGAAATGGAGGTTGCTCAGTTGACTAGTGAGTAAATAAAAACACTCTTAGCCAGCCTGAATAAACTCGACTTTCTAAATCGTTTTTATATAACTTTGATTTAAATATTACATTAAGGAACATTGTCTGCTGTGCCAGTCGCAAGCTAATACGTAAGTCGGCCGACGAACTGCGTCGCTATCTTACTGATTTGATTAGCTCTTTCCGGCTTTCAAAACGATTTTCAATAACAATGGTACGATAAAAAGGTAGAGCTATTCATCTAACTGTCAACCATGCGTAGGCGTCGATCAGGAAGCGTGGGCCTGGGCTATAAGATCCGAGGGCCGGTAGCAGTTAAGTAAAAACAGCCCATCGAAAACAGGCCCTTTGCAGAATCCTTATAATTAATTTTCGTGTGACCAAAGTCTTTTAAAAATGGTCATGGTACCAATTAAAACAGGATGTTACAAAATGAAAAAGCCTGATGAGATCGGCAAGACGGCCAACGTTAAAGAAGCTCAGTCAAGGCGTTTTGAGTTATTTTGGCGACGTACAAATTTGCCTTTAAATTGAAAGGAACCTGAAATTGAATGATAGCAAGTTGACGAAGATAGAAAAACACCAAAGAGATAATAATAAACCATAAAGGAACATGGATGGAGAAGATTAACACGGATTACAAACGACAAACGTACTTTAAAAATTTAGGCCAAACTATTCAATGCTGGGTTCAGCCCATATATTGAGAGAGGAAATAGGTGTTCCATCAGTTACCAGTTATCATTAAATGTTTGCGATTTCTTGGCTATCAGATAAAATTTCAGTTGGTTTCCAAGCAAGAGAACAGGATCACAATCTCTTGTTTCCAAGCTATCCACAGTAAATTTTACATAACTCAGAACTAAGCTATCAGTTTACATCTTGACCAATTCTCAGCAATTAAACTATCAGGACCCTTTGTGATATCTTTCCCAAATCATTCAGAAACTGCTTTAAAAATGATAATAATAAAAAAAAAATAACTAAGGCTCCGACCGCACTAATATGTTTTCGTTTGAGAACACATACTTTTTTAATGGGTGTTGGCCTATAGTTCACATTCAGAACACCGAAAAACGCGGATGAAAACAGAGGCTTTCAAAAACGGTTTCAAAAGTGGAGCCTTTTGTAAACGCAACGTTTTGAAAACGCAACGTTTTGAAAACGCCCCGTTTTTAGTGTGGACAGGTGAAAACGAAGGCTTTTGAAATCGTTGCCGAGGAAAGTGTCACAGTCGGACTACTTTAATACGGGCACCGAAGGGACAGAGCGAAGTGTCTGTATTGGAGAGATCACTATGACGACGTCACTTTCAAGTCTCCACTGACAGTTTAGAGTGTTTAGCAAATAAAATCGACAAATTTCATGCTTATAAGACAAACACTGTTAAGAAATACAAATCGAAGTGGAATCTACTCAAATGAACTGTGACTTCAATCCACCTTTTTTTTTTAGCAGCTCCCCTTTTGCTATCAATTTTCTTTCTAATTTTACTCTATTTTTCCAAAACCTTACACCATGAATAGCGGCCGCCTTCGTAGTTTGTGTTCTTTTTTGTCCTTTTTTCTTTTCCCCTTTCTCTGTTGTTTCTTATCTTCTACGCGCTTTTCATTATGAGCATGCTTCCCCAAATATAGACAAAATATTTCAAATCAACTAAAAACAAAATCATTAAGTGGTTAAGAAATATATGAAAGTGTGCACCAGTATTATGTAACAGTGTGTGGTAACCAGAAAAAAAAAAAAGCAATTTTAATAAATAGCATTATCTTTTGGTAGAAATATAAGTTATGTGAAATATGTTACTGAGCGTTTCTTGTTTTTGTTGTTGTTGTTTTCTAAGTAAACTAGAAATCGAAGACGCTATTGTGAAAATTATAAAAGGGATCAATCTTGCCGAAATAATATCATATACAATAAGGGGAGGGGAAAAGTACCGGAATGCAAGTGGTGTAAGTTTAACCAAGTAAGTAGTAGATAAATGTTGTACTGTAACTGCGTTGTAAGTGCTGTAAAGTAAGGAATGTAACGTAATTGTATGTAGGATGTTTCGTGTAACTATTACTGATGTGGGGAATGTAAGCATTGTATTGTAAGTATTTTTTTTTTTTGGTATGTTAGTGTGGAAATAAACTGAAAATAATAATAAAAAAAAAAACTAAAATCAGGCCCAGAGTGAGTGTCTTGTGAATTTCTGAATCTAAATTGATTAACTTTATTGCACTTCTCAGTTACATGCTGTACATACGAATTTTGGACAGGAAATGGTACATACCGCATATTATCCACACCTGGTCCCCGGAGTGTACGTAATAAAGAGGTTAAATTTGTATGAATTTGCTTCCTAGGGCCTAGATTTAGTGTCCGTTGTCCGTTTTAGAGAGGGTCCGTATTATAGAGGGTTTATAGGAAGTGTATGAGAATTTTGTCGGAACATCCATGGATAGGAAACTGTCCATATTAGCGAGTTGTCCGCATTAGAGATACTAATGAAGTAGTCGATCGTGTGAAGTAAGGGAAACGCAGGTTGATAATAGTTAGGTCAACAACAACAACACCACCAACAACAACAAAAACTTTTATTTCAACAACAACAGCAACAACAAAACTTTTATTCCTTTTTCATTAACTTAAAGCCATGAATTTTAGGTTAATCAGTTGTTTCCGTGTCTTTCATCCACTCTTTATTATTACAAAATGGTTAAGTTAATCAGAAACTTGATACATATAATAACAGATGAACCCGCAGGTAGTCTAGGCTAATCTAGGTGGGCCGCATGTGTCTATATTTATATTATACCATTAATATGCAATAAGCTTCCTATTCAACTACTTAGGCAAAGATTAATTGACGAAAATGTTTATTACAAGCGTTACAAACTATTTTTGACTGGTTATCATTTACATATTATTGATACTAGGAGCTATGACTAACTAGAGAGAGCTAAACGAGGGGTCAAAATTAATCAGGCACTAAATTTAAGAATTTGAGTCAGGTTGTCGAACTGTCGACTTCAACATAGTCATCCCTATCTGAAAGAGTCTCAAATAAAATCCGCGAATTTTTTTTACTTAAGGATTGGTTTAGATATATCTCTCCAGTCTGGAGAAATTTGATTCCATAATAGCGCTCCAGTTCTCGAAAAAGGGCGTTCGAAAATTTCCAACTTAACTTCTTTCCGAAGATAACTTCCTTTTACGGCATGTCTTGTGTTGTACCAGTGAATTTCATTTGCCCCAGTGAAGAGAGCTGTGATAGGCGAAGGGGCTAAAATTAATCTTTTCCAAATATCATGCATGAGATTCGTAACCGTGTCAAAATAGATCATATTTTACAGGTAAAATCTTTGATTCAGTGAAAAGAAGAATAGCATGAGCATCACTGGGCGCAAAATAAATCAGTGGAACAACACGTTTCTGGAGGACCGGTAGCTTGCTAATGTATGGCTTGGCTGCACGACCCCACAAGTTACAAATAATTTATGACGTACAATCAAGAGATGATGATGAAAATGATAGGGGTGCTGGCTATCCGAATTCACGGCAGCCAGGCAGCCAGTCAAAACAAAAGATATTTTACATGTTTAGGTCAGGGACACAAACAAACAAATCAACAAATAAACATAGATACACAAAATAATAGGAATAAAATAACAAAGTGAAGCGTGGTGATATCGTCAAAGTATCTTTCCTTTATCACTGTGTACAAACTTCAAATCAATTGCAGCTATTTGATTCGGCCTGTGGTGATCGATAACACTGGTAACCTTGCATTGACTTAAAATTTCCGGATTTCGCACATGCGTAAAAAATTTACAGCGGGACTTCGTTTTCTTTCGTTTTCGTAAAAACAAATACAAAAAACAAACTCGTTTAGAGCTCGTTGCTCATTTTTCTTCGTCACTATTTATTAAAAGTGAATTTCAGAATTAACATTTGTACCTTTTTATATGTGGCAGCCTAGGTTCATGAAAATTTTTTAAATTAAAAATTGGTTCCTTCGAACCAAGCGAGCCACACACTCTGATTCAGTACTATTCAGAAGAAGGAGAAGAAGAAGGAAAAGAAGAAGAAGAAAGTAGAAGAGTGCAAAAAAGGAACATAAGAAAGTGAGTACAAAAGGAAAAAAAAAATGACACTCGTTTGAATTTTTATATCTCACGATAAGGGAAAATGACTAGGACGAGATTTTCATAACACCTTTCCATAATCTAGACGTAATAAGTCGAGTAGAAGTGACGAGCCCTGACTATATTTTATTACTTTGTTGTTGTCAATTTACACCGTTTCGTCACAGTTTTTCCCTTTCGTAGCAACATGGCTTGTAGTAGCAGCCATTTGTTTTCGCCTTGTCCTCGGGTCTTCGTTTTCTATTCTAGTACCCGCCCGAGGTCTTCCATTTTTAGAAAAGTGGAAAGACCCCAGTAAGAGATCGACTATTGAATATTTACGGGAAGGAAACCAGCGTTGAACTATTCAAAATCTTAATTCAGGCAAGAATCCAGCCAATCAAACTCTTGTGTATCCAGAGCTATACCTTTTTCTAGTGTCATGAGTTGCTGGTGAAGAGAGAGACTCTCTGCTATCTTGAAGACGAGAATGCAAAGCGACCACACTCGGCCAGTTCCAGTGCCGGCTCTTTTTTTCCGTTCTTTGCCCTATTGGATACAGGGTCTCGATTGCATACTGGGTCACATACAAAGGGCTCGACCATTTCTCTAGTTCTTAAGTCAATTTTATTTAGTATTTAGTCATTAGTCATTTTATCTATTAGATTTTATGCATTTTATATTATTATGTGTTCTCTCGAGTCCGGTTGAGGAGAGCGTCGACCGGTGTCGTGGGGCCCCCGCAAAAACGCCCGATCTAGTGGACGAGGTATAAACGCGCCATGCGCCCTATATATTGTTGCTGTTGTTACTATACCGTTACTATCGTCATTAATAGACTGGAGTGAACGTTACATTTTGAATTCATTGTAATATGTACCCACCAAATAACAGGTCTTAGAAACACCCCTGCCGTTCGTTAGTGTGATCAACTTTTGTCTTCTCCGTACATACGCCGTGAACGTTTGTTTCGCAGAGTGGTGCCGTGAAATAAAAGCGAGTTATAATATTGCCTAGATGTACGGCGGTAATTAGAACTAATATTAACAGAAAGTTATGATAATTAAGATAAATCAATATTTCAGGCTTTGAACTATATAACACGGACACTTTGAGGCGAGAGCACACATATTTACAACTACTTCGCGCCACAATTTTGAAGCACAGAGAGATTTGACCAGCGGTTACACCATTGCGGTTAAACTTAATCGCTCTTTCCAGTTCGACTTAGGCGAAGTGATCGCTGAATTTTAGCGGGGTATAATCGCCTTAAATGCTTATAGCTCGGGCTGCAACACATCTGTTAGTTCCCTGTCATTGTTTTTTGCTTCAAGAGTGAGCGGTTCGAGGGAAACTCACGGATGAAATTTTAAATTTGTACAGTACCAAGTTGCAGACATGGAAATGGGTCTAGTTACTGCTCAATTAACTCTGGTAGTATTTTCTGCGCTGGTTATGTTCGTGGATTATGGATTGACCGAGAGTTTATCGACAGATGGTGAGTTAAGCTCGTTCCTAATCATTTGTTAAGGTTTATATCTTTACGGAATATAAATATTTGTTATACAAGATTTCAGAATACAACTGGTTAACTATGTTAAGGTTTAACAGAATTTGAAGTTCAAGAATCGCTGCATGTGGTGTTTTGTAGTAAAATTCGACATGAATGGGGTTAGCTTATGAAGCATTCTCGTGACTCAGTGATTAGAAGGTTATAAACGATGGAAGCGAAACTCGAAATTATCGTGCAGATGCTTCACAGAATATTAATATTCATCTAGCTAGTCTCGATCAGTTGTCGGTCGATAAATCGATAATTGAATTGTCTTGATTTGCTATAACGCAGAGTCGGGTCTCTGTTTGGTCGCGTTTGAGAATACGCGAGAAACGCTCACGTCAATTTACCGCATGCTTATGCAAATCACTGAGGTGGCTCCATCGACCTTATTTAGCAGACGATCACTAATTCTGTGCGGCGAAACACAGACTCATTTAGGATTAGTTACGCCGTTTAACATTGCCTCAACGGCCTTTAAACTACCTCTTAACGGCGGTCAAAACTGCTCTGTGTTCTTTTAATTACACTGAAATGATACAAGTTATGAACACGTTTATGGCAGCAATGAAGTCAACATTAATCAAATACTTGATCGACCAAGTGAATCGGAGTTAATTATTCGATCATCGGAACTGAAGAAACTTCTGCCGAATTCCTTCACGCCCTCACGGGTCGGGGAACTATTATCACTTCAGCTATCTTGTTGTACTAAAACCCCATATTGTTTCAGCCTTGCTCCTGAATAGTAGTTATTGCAGATTTAAATTAGAAATCTCTTTGTTTATTTGTGTAAGTCTTTGTGAGCCTCAACTGGTTTCGTTTCGCCAAAATTGAAAAAAAAGAGAACCCATTTGAGTGTTTGTGTCGCGCTCGTGAAATTCAGAAAATGTATTTCGGTGGTTTTCTGGTTTTCCGTGTTTATTGTCGGACGTAATTATTGTTGTTAAACGCTCCAGACATGTTTATTTTGACTTATTTTATTGTCTATTTGTTCATAGAATGCCACAAAAAATGTTTAGAAAAAGATAACGTTGTTTGTAAAACTCCAACATTAGCGCACCCTCAGTTCGGGCCGCCCCTACAAGATATATTAAAGTTTGCATGTTTAGATCCAAAAATGTCTGATGCAATATACAATGTTTGCGAAATAACTTAAGAAATATCATGTCATAGTTTGATGGCTTCAAGATAAGAGATTCGGCCGACAAAAGCTTGCGCTGACCTGTGACCCAAGAGCTTTATTTAACTGGCATATTTTAGACGATATAGAATCAGTTGAAATAAAACTGCGACGATCTGAAAACGTGTCGACGAAAATTGCGGAAATTGGCGATTATCGTACGAAAATAAATGAAGTCATGAATGAAATAGTAATATATAAAACATAAAACAGAAGAACTCGACAACAACAACAACAACAAAGAAAACAACAGAAAAAGAACAGCAATTATAACAACTTCAGCAACAACAATGAAGCTCTTGCAGCAGAATTTTAACCCAGTAATTGAGGACAGTAACGTACTGATTCCATTTAGCCTTCAGGCCACCGTTGTTCGATAGGTGGATAACGCTATCCACCGGATAAACTGCTATCCAGTGGACACGTCTTCACAAAACAAACCACGCCATCCGCTGCTGGATAGTGATTTATCCGGTGGATAGCACTCCACCTTTCGAAGAACCCAGGATTTACTAATGACCAATTTATACATCGCCATTTCACGTCGGGCAGTAGACAAGTTGTTACTGGTATTTTTATCACAATTGCTACTAATCTCGCGATCTGATTGGCTAATTTGCCGTTGTCGACAAGAGTCCAGACAACGCTGCTCGCGTCAATGTGTCACGCAATGCCTTGTTCAGCTCGCGCCCTGAAAAAAAAAAAAAAAACAAAAACAAAAAACATTTTCTTTGACGTTGATATTGTGGTGAAAAACAAATCGAATGTGGTTTAGCGTTGTCTGTACTCTTATCGACAACGATACGTGTCATCACTGCGGTCAGAATTTGTTGTGGACTCACTCGGCTTCGCCTCATGGTTCCACAACATTTTGATCACTGTGATGACGCGTACTCGTTGTAGATAAGAGTACAGACAGCGCTAAACCACATTCGATTTGTTAAATACGGTACTTCATAATTTTACGGTTATTAAATAAATCAAAACACTTCACATATTTTACGCAAGCATAAGCACGAGAAGCTTTAATATGTGCTAGTGGGGACGGCCGCGACGTAATGTAAGCATAAGCGTAGGCGTTCTTCTTCTGCTTATGCTCATGCTTATATTTAGTGAGGAAAAGGTTGGCATAAACATGAAGTGCTCGCTGATTGGCTGAAAGTCTTCCGCTTATGCTTACGCTTATGCCAACATGTCCTTACTAGACACAATAACGACATAAACATAAGCATAAGCAGTTGAAGAACGCAAGGTTTTGATATTCTTATGCTTATGCTTTTTTTTGCCTCGCAAGGGAGGTCGCGGGGGACATTGGGGGCCTAGTACATGTAGAAATGTCTTTGAAAACCGAAAAATCGCTATGAAAATAAATCAAAACCGAAAAACCGGATATTTCAAGTGCAAAATTCGAAAAACCGATAAGGAAAAAAAAAAACCAAAACCAGAAAACTAAAAACTCCGACGCTCCAACATTTAGCCTTAATTTACAGGTCACGATTAGACTAATAGCGATCAATATCCTTTATGGCGAACCTCCAGTTAGCCCGACGATTGGACAGTGTTTTTCTCCCAATAACACCCGGCAATAACTGCAGTGGCTACAAAATATACACCTAAGTCACTTTGATTCTTGTTGACGCTGTTACAAGTCGACCAGTTTGCTGAAACCCCACCAGACATTGTCATTAAAATATTCCCGGCGTGTCAGTTCTATTTTGCGTAGGTTGTAGACCACGTGTGTTTAATCATTCCGCATTGTTTAACGTTGTCACATGACTCATCCTTGAATTTATCTTCAGTTAATGTTTACAAGCGACGAAAGTAGAGTAAATTTTGGTATATTCTCGAGTCGGGAAGAGAGTTTGCAATTTGCTGCGCTTCGTTATTCTAAACCAACGCTATTTTTCGATTTATGAGAGCAGTTTGCTCAGGAAACATTCGAGAACATCCACTCTGAAACATCAATTTTAACAGTGCGTAGTCGCTGGGTCAATGTTATCACGGTTTCTCATTAGAACAAAATGCTGCTTTCTCGGAAGTTTTCGTTCATCTGCTACTTGACACTTCCTCTTGTTTTCACCGTGGACTCAGATTCTCAACGTGGTAAGCAAATATATTTTTGAAGTTTTATTGTTATTTCTAATTTGCCTTTTCGCGCACGTGTTCCTAGTTTTGTTTCGCTCTGTCGACTACATTGTCGTCTGCGAGAGAACTCACATTTCCACAAAGACCACTTGTATATTTATCTCAGTGTTTCAAGAACTCCAATTCATTACGTACTTACTTTTAACACACAACTTAGTTTTCTTATTTAACTTTTCGAAGCTATTACATAAGCCAATATTTTCTTCCGACGCATTTTTTGCTGAGATAGAATTTTCGAGTCGACACATCTGCTTAGAGCTATTAATATGAAAAGCTGGAATTCTCTAGAAATTGTTTACAAGAGCTTATATTACCGTTAAATCGGTTTACCCGAGTATTTTCGACAGTTCTGTCAATCGCTGGCTAAAAACATCGAGAAATATAAACCTTTCATTCCAGTACAAGTTTTGTTTTCTGTTTTAAAACCTAGAAAAAGCACGCCGTAGCTACACATATACACCTTCTGATGTCTAATCTCGTTAAAAATGTTTTCAGAGTCTTTTATATTATTTTGCGAAAGATGGAAAAGTATAGTAAAGGAAAATTATCATTTTAGTCTCATTATATATACATATTTTTCACAACAAATAGAAAATATGCAAATTAGAGCGGTTGTTTTAATGACGTCAAACCAAAAGCAAGTAATCACTGGCCAATCACAAAGGACGTAGGTAATCTAGTGAACCAATCAAAACTCGAAGAAATACTAGTTGGCACGAAGCGCGGGAAAATTTGTGCCGGCGAGTCACGATTGGTTTTCGTTTTAGTTCTGATTGGACGACAAAGTCACGCAAATTTCGTTTTGTGTAGCATAGTAATGCAAGTCAAACGTGAATTATTTTCGACTCTCTAGTGAAACGCGCTCTAACATCGAATCAGTGTCTGTCGTATTTCTGTTTTATTAGCTTATCTATGTTCATTTTTTCTTATGTTGATTGGTATAACGCAAAAAGGAAAAAAAAAAAACACAAAAAAGAAACAAAACAATACTAAAAGATGCTTTCAACTCTAGACTTTTAAATCCAATCGTTGGAGTTGAAATGTCGTAGCTAATTTTTGCTATTTTTGACTAGAATGAGGCCCGGGGCCTGTTTGTGGAAAGCCCCGGAAACTCTTCGGGCCCGATTTTGAGTTAATCGGTATTTAAAGACAAACAGTTGTTTACGCCTGAAATTTCTTGTACGGAATGGAACCTCTGTTCATATTAAAAATATGTGAAAAAAACATAAGGTTTGAGATTTTTGCTACGGCTTTCCGGGTGCGAAAACTTTCGGGATCTTCGAGAAGCGGGCCCCTGGTTCATACTAGCAACATAACGACATAATCGCTTATGTTGGTAATGTGAACATCGACATAAAAACTTGAGGAAAAGATCAGTTTTTCCCTTATGTTGTTATGTTCATGCTGTTATGTTGTTATCATGTCATTATGTCAGGATGTTCACACTGCAAACGTAACGAAATAAACGTCCTTCGTATGCCGTTATCTCGCTGGTATAAATTAGGCCTTAGAGGGCCAGAAATGGGGTATTAGAATCTCACTTATCGTTTAATTTTCGGCAATTTCTTAGCTGTCATTTCTCATTTTTTGTTACCTTTTCTTAAATCATCCCAGCTTTGTGTACGCCTGGAAATTTCTTGAAGAACCACCACTGCGTGTCTGAGTGTGGTCCTGGTTTCTATGGCAACAGCGTCACAAGAAAATGTGAAAAATGTTCATCAAGTTGCAGAACGTGCCTTGATGGTGAAGTGCCCACGAAATGCTCCAGTTGTAATTCGCCGCTGTATATTCAAGGTATTGTAGTTAAACTAAAAAGTGGTATAGATGTTTTTCTAATCGAGTGTCATACAAACCAAATCAAACTACAGTCCAGCCCCTATTAAGAGACCGCCCTCGGGGAAATGGGAGGTGGCAGCTTAATAGAGGCTCATTAGGAATTAGCGTGAGGCTTACTGTAGAAATGTCAATTTATTCAAATACAAACATACATTAAGGCAACATGGAATCACGTGAAGACAATAACGAACGTGTATTTGAATGTTTTTTCACAGAGTTCATTTTCTATTTCGGATTCTTAATTATCTGCCATCGCCTTTTCCAAACGTGTATTAAATTTTGGGTAGCCGCTTAAAAGGGGTACGAGCTATATATGGACAACCAAAAGGTGGCCGCGGCCGCTTAAAAGGGGTTTTATTTGCAGTATTTTACTGACAACGGTTGCTGGTCTTTGATTACTGGTCGCTTGACAGGAGATGGCCACTTAATATAGGTTCGACTGCAATCGCTTTGGCCGATACAGGGACAATCCCCTGAGTGAACCAATCAGCCTGAAGTACGACGCACGCGAAGCGCGCGAAAACGTGTGAACAAGCCACAATCCTCCATAGGAAAAAAGATGGCGACTGGTACATTTACCCATAATTCTTAGCGCACAAAAACCATAACAACGTTCACAGAAACGTACAGAAACGTTATAAAATCTTCAAACCTAGGCTACTCAATGTCCTTAGCACAGGGAAAAATATTATAAAAATTTGGCTTTCTTTGTGCCTTATAGGCTGCTTTAGGTTCGCAAGGCATTGTGGTAAAATGTACAACCGCCATCTTTTTTTCCTACGGTGGATTGGTCGTGGATTAACTTCTCATTGGCTGAAAAGGTGGCGTGAGTTTCTTTTAAACTAGTTACTAGGCGTAGATATACAAAAGTAACGTAAACGCGAATTACTTTCGACACTTAAAGTAAAACCCCACAGCACCGCTTAATCTTGGTTTTGATCGCATCGAACGATGTTAGTGCAACTATTAAACGATCAGCTAAAAGTTGAGGGTGAATTAAAATTCGACGTTTAACTGGTTGTCTGAGCCGATTACGGAACTGTCGGTCGAGTGTGTGTGTTGGTATAGTAGAGTACTGAATCGGTCTTTTGAACCGAAACGACATCGTAACGAGTATTACATGAATAAATGATGCAGAATTTCGTCATGTTGTCCTCAATAGCGATCTCCAAGACCATTATAGAGCTGTTTTGACAAAGACCCCACAAAAGTGTAAAAGCGTACTCGATTGGTATTATTTTATTAATTGTTGCTTGGCTGAGTTCACGTTGTTTCAGCAAGAAGGAAGGGAAAGCATGAATACACGTGTTTGTGCTGTAGTTCCTTCAATCACGCTGAAACACCTTGAGCTATAACCAAGCTAACAGTAAGCCACCAGTATTTAAAAAACCTTTCGACATTGTCGCGTTTGCTTATACACTTTTGAAGGAAAACCTTTCTCAAAACGGCCATATGCACAGACGACGAATCAATAGTTCAGGATTAACGTGAATTTTGATTTTAGTTTTCAACTTTCCAATGAAGATTTAAAAAAATTCAGTCCTTTAGTTTTTACATTAACTTATCTCAAACTCTACAAAACACTAGCAGGGAAAACACTTCAGAAAAACCTCTACCAACTTTTAGTCTTGTTTGGGTATTTCAATCGACTCTCTATCAAGGCGGCCAGGGTGCGTAGAGACACTACGACTTATAAATAGTGGCTTGGCGCCCGTTTCTCGTAAACCTCTGAAACTTTTCGGGCCCGCAAAACCAATGTAAGTTAATCTGTATCTAAAAACAGAGAGGTGTATACGCCTGAAACTTCTTGTATGAAGGGAAACTCTGTTCATATTAAGAATATGTTAATAAAACAGCTCTGTAATCAAAAGGTTTGGGATTTTGTTAGAGCTTTTCGGCTGCGAGAACTTTTCGGAACCTTTGAAGAGCAGGCCCTAGGCCTCTAACTTGAGTATTTTGAATCACGGAGTCTGCTCTGTTTCTTCGCTAGGCCGCAGCGCATTTCGTAAGATATGAAGTTAAATTCCTACGTATGGTGTTCAGCATAACTCTGTGATGTGCTCTTCTTCAGGAAATTCATGCGTGAAGTCTTGCGGAAAGCAACGATCAAAAGGGCCTCCTTATCGCCAAATGAGGCTTGTGCAAGGAAAAACCCATTTTGAAGGCCGTGTAGAAATCTTCCATGACAGCAAATGGGGCACGATTTGTGATGACTCCTGGGATATCAACGATGCTAAAGTTGTCTGCAGAGAGCTGTTGCTAGGAGACGCCCGCGAGGCCGTGACATTTGGGAGATTGGGGAAAGGGAAGACGGAACAACCCATTTGGCTGTCACAGGTTAGAAATTGGAAATTTACCTTCATTATATTAGTTATAAATGTTAGAAGCAAATCTTTTATTTCCTATGTATTTCATAGACGTGCGAGCTTTCTAGCCATCAGGTCGAGTGGCAGGCAGTGAAAGATTGTCGAGTTTTATATGTAGGAGTATACCGACTGAATAATGTTATGGCTATGAAAATGATTTCTGCCGAGAGGTTTCCTCTTCACCTCACACAAAGAAGTACAAAAACAAATTAGAAGTCCGAACGGCGAAAATGAAAAAAAGCCTGGTATCGTGAACTTGTGATAAGGATCAATACGGGACTTGAAAACCATGGCTTAAAAATGCTAACCGTAATAAGACTTTGAAGAAACTGCGATATCGTCAGCCAAAACGAGTGCATATTCACGACGAAATCATTTTGGAAACTCGAGTTATCCTATCTACAAGCTATGAACAGAAGCCTATTTTATTTTTTCCGTCAGTTCACTTTTTATTGTGTTTCTCCAACTATTTTGTCTAAACATTTCGATCGCGGCTGACAAGGTGGCCGTTCACCTTTAATGTAGTCCTATACTGCCCTCGGCCGCTTTTATTTGGTGATGCATGCTTTTTACCTCCCGTAATTCTGCCATGGACATTTCCGGCCAATTTGCCCCCTCAGAGAGAAGGCTTTAACGAATTCGATTATCCCGTGCTCGGCAAAATGACCTGTTAGGGCACGTATTTTTTTTTTG